GCTTTAACTATTCAATTATTTTCAGCATAAATTAGTGATAAGCAAATCCATATCATTGTCTTTTCTGTGTGAGTCATTGAGTTTCCTTTACTTTTTGGGTAAAAAACAGAAACAAAGGGGTATCTTTTGTTCCTTTAAGTCCTGTTTGATTTGAAGTTTTGTTGAACAACTCACACATTACGGTTCACACATTTTGATCTGTAGACACTTAGTTTTTCATCCTTGACTTTTACGTATGTCTTACACAATGAAGGCATAATGAGTAGTTTTTTTATTTATTTTTTATTCAAAACAATCTACAACTAAATGTTTGATCAATTAATAAATGTTACATTTAATTCATTTTATAGGATCATTTTAATGTTGAGCACAAGACTCCTCTTTCATATTAAACTACAGGTACAGTCCCAGAGAATCAGTTTGGTCAATGTTTTTGTTGAGTGTTATTGTGTTGACTATATTTGCTGCAATGCGAGAGTATTTCTATCAAGAAGCTTGGTATTGGGTTTACATTCAACTTTATAGTTAAAAATACCTTGTATTTTTTACGCTTAAATAATATGCTCATATCCACATTTAGTTTCCTCACATGGCAATGACACAAATTTTCAGCAAGTTATAACCAGAAGTAGTGCATTGTTTCCATTGTATTTGATGTTTTTGTGTGCTAATAATAAACTTATGTCAGGAATTTTGCAGCTATATTTTTCTTTCTGATTGTTATATGTTCATTGTTATTGTTACGTCCAGCAGTGCCTTAACAGGAAGCAATTTTCTGAGTGCAAGCTTCAAGCAGAACCAAAAGAGGTCAGAATTTGCTAATCCTTCTGTGCGAATTATTTTTTCATAAGATATTTGAGAATAACCATAAATCACCCCACTCTGCGTGTGTCATAGGCTGTTGCTGTTGAAAATTTTGCACCTGCACACAGGTCAATGGACCGAAAGTTGCTCCACCAGAAGAGAAAGACAATCATTATGGAAAAGCCTCTAGTCCTACTAATGCATCTTCAATCTCTGCATTTATGAACCAAGTCTCTGATCTTATGAAGTAAGTCTAAACTTCCATGTTTGCCTTTGTTGCTTATATCAATATTACTATACGAAACATTTGTATATATTATACTAAAAAAAATTACTTTTGTGGGAAGACTTGTGGACTCTAGAGATATTTTGGAGCGGCAACTTATGCAAGCAGACTGTGAACTCATGATAAGGAAAAAGGATGCTTTGCAGCCTCCACCAGCTACATTTGTAGATCCAGCATCACAACCATTTCCATATCCCACAAAGCCTCTGCTAACACCACCACCATCGGTCGCTACTTCTGCTCCTGCAAGTCCTCCATCTTCAGAAGCAGCTCCTGCAAAAGAGAGCAGATAATCTCATCCACCGCTAAAATGTCCAATGGCAGGAACCTTTTACCGAAGTCGAGCACCTGGCGAACCTGCATTTGCAAGGTACGTTTCAGTATTACTGTATAAGCAAATGTAATTTAAATAGTGAACTTCTTTTGAGGTGTTGAATTACAAATCGTTCTACTGGGTAATTACTGCTAACCATTATCATGTTTGCTCAATAAATTAATGAATAGCCTTAGGGTGTGCATGATTTTGTTTTCATTTTGAAAACTATTTTATAAGACAATTTTAAAAAACTACTAGATAGTAGGGCTAAGGGAAGAAGATAGGGTAGTGTAAGAAGAACTTGAATAACAGAAAACTAAAGCACCTTTAAAATGTTTCTGTGTTTCAGGTGGGAGATAAAGTGCAGAAAGGGCAGACTCTTTGCATTATTGAGGATATGAAACTGATGAATGAAATTGAAGTATGTGTATTGTCCTTTCTATGCAAGTTCTGTATATTATTCTGCTTTTCTTTCACCTTTTGCTAATGTCACTATCTTATTTTTCCTTCCCCTTTATTATGGAGACATGTCCCATTCTTATTTTGCATCATAGTCGGATATAGTAAAATACATAAGTCTGAATAAAAGTTTCCCTAAGCATAGAGCACACAAAAAAAGCAAACCTATAAGAAACTTTACGCACAGTGGAACAGTTTTAGTTCCTTGCATATATTTCCATCTTTATTCAGCTGCACCTGCCCCAGTTATTTATATAACCAATAAAAAATTGTAATTACTTGGTTTTCTTTCATGGCTTTCCAGGCTGATCAATCAGGAACAATATCTCAGGTGTAGCAGAGGATGGTAAACCAGTCAGTGTAGACACGGTACTCTCTCTCTCTCTCTCTCTCTCTCCCTGCTGTCTTCATCTAAAGGTTTTCTGTAATTTCTCTAACTGAAAATTAATGTGGTTCATGCAGCCTCATTTCGTAATTGCACCTTGAAGTACCTGAAAGACCTTACTTTAAAGTTGATGGAAACCTTCCTCCTTGGATAACACACCTCAAGATTCTTATAGCACAAGTGTTTCCTTTTTTTTTCAATTTTCTTGGGGAATTTTGTCCCATTTTAAGAAGTCCTTCTTCTCATGTTTGTCCCAATGTAAGAGGTATCTCTTCTCCTTTTAGGGTATAATTATTTGTGATTTTAAAAATTTCAAAAGATTTTTTTATAAAAAATATTGTTATATTAAATCAAGATTTTTTTAAACATTAATTTCTTTCGTAGTATCCAATGAAGATAATTAACATTTTTTAAAAGTTTAAAAAGAAATAATCTTATATTCAAAATCATATAATGGATTATTTTACAGAGATATAATTTCTATGAATTTGTATTTTTTATTTGTATGTAAAAATATCATTTTCATAAAACAAAAAATAATCATACCTAAATAACGAGTAATATACTTGAACTCAAATTCTAGAAAGAAGAAAAAAATAACTTTACAAATTAAAATAATTAATTCTGACATTTGAGAATTTCTAATTATTAAGTTTTTTTTACGTGTTCTCAGTTTTGTAGAGAAAAAAAAGTTTATAGTTGAGATAATTATAAAAATATTTCTTTTTGAAAAAATTCCTAATTTTATTATATATGATTTTTTTTAAATTAGACACATTCTTCTGAATTAAATATATTTAACTTTATCATGAGTTTTAACTTAATATTTTTTACAATACAACTTAATTAAATATCTACATGAACATCTACTTTTGTTATGGAAAGAAAAAACAAAGGAAGGTTTCAAAAGAATTGTCAATATGAATTTTTTAAAAGAAACGTTACATTAAAAAAAGCGAAGACATGTGGAATGGAGACAAGAACACAAACATTAGTGATGAATTTTTCTTTCGATAAAAAATTGAATCTTCACTTAAAAGCAAATTAAATGAATTCAACTTGTGGAACACATAACATGTTTTTCTTTTAAAGAAAAAACATCGAAATAAGCGAAGACATGTGAAAGAGAGAAAAGGAAAAACATTTATGATGATTGTTTCTTTTCATAAAAAGAGAATTTTCACTTAAGAACAATGCAAATAATTTAGCATGGTTAGCAGATACATACTTTATTCAAACTTTCTAAAATGTTTTTAATTCTTAACTTAAAAAAAAAAAAGATCAACATTAATTGCAATTCAGCAGGAATGATAGGTTTTCAAATTAAGTAAAACTCAAAAACATTAAAATAAGGAAATAATATCTTTCAAAATCATCTTTCACTCATCAATTGAAACGCAAATCCGTGTCCTATATTTATCATTATCCTTAAAAGCATCATGAATAAATTATTTATATATAGCAACAAAATTTAAGTTATCTCTGACCAGTTATTAAGAATTAAATCTTACTAACATTAATTTGTTTTGATTTCCTGAACTAGCATAGCAAGTAGCACTACTCTCACCTTTAAATACCCATTTTCATTCACCAAATTTTATATTTATCTGTCTGATCTGTGTTCTTAAACCTTGCAGTAAAATATTCATGGTGATGAGGTCTAACTGTTTGTTTCTTTTGGCCCTTTTAATGGTTCTCTTAGTTCCAGCCTTGTCAGATGGCATTCATGGCAGAGGCAGTATATGGCACAGTGCCCATGCAACGTTCTATGGTGACATGCAAGGTGGAGACACCATGCGTAAGTGTAAAACTCTCCTTTTACTTTATACTCTTTATAATCTAAAATCACTATATCATTCTCATTTTGATGATTAATCATACACTAACATTGTTTGTCCTCATATTTTTATTTAATCACATTTCTTGCTTCTATATCTCTATCAATGCTACTTGTGTTAGAGGCTAAACTAGAATAGTGGAATAGTTTATCAGAGGGTGAAGCTTATTTGTGATTGAGAGGGAGAGGGAGAGAGGAGATGGAAGTGCATTAAATATTATTCAAAATCATTTATTTCACTATTATTGCGTGTTTAAGGCATTAAAAGCATTGTAGAAAACTTGATCTGCAACTGTCTTTGAAAGAAACAGAAAGGTAATTTTATTGACAAGGTTACTGTATTAAATATTTTCCTTTAATTATAGCATTAATTATTTTATTAATTAAATTCCATTTACTATAATATAGTAAATTTGACTTTTCTTGTACTGATCTCAACTTTTTTCTCTCTGACTTTTATACCTTATTCTGCTACAGAAAAGTTTCAAGAACTTGACAACATTCTTAGTGTATAGTTTTTTTCATAAAATTTGCGATTTTATGTTACAATTTTTTCTACAAAATGTAAGCAACTTTCGCTATGCCAAAAACATTAATACTTTGTTGTCTTCATTGTTTTCTTTTCATAATGTCACAAATTTCTGTTATATATATAATTTATAGTTTTTTATTCCGTTTCAGAAAAGAGGAGATGAATATTTTATTTGATATTTTTTATTGAGTAACAAACAGAAGTGTCTGCTCTATCTTTTTTTCTCTTAAGCTTTTAATGCCACCATTTGACTGACATAGCAGTTAAAGATAAAAAAAAGAAAGCCAAACAAGAATATCCTTTTATTATTTTGCCATGGATTACACGTATTGAAGGTGGATTCAACAAAACAAAAATGATATTAACTAATTTGATTATATTATGTTTTCAATGACACTAGAGGGTGCTTGTGGCTATGGTGATCTCTATCAGCAAGGTTACGGGCTTGAAACCACAGCTCTAAGCACAGCACTGTTCAACAATGGTCTCAGTTGTGGTGCATGTTTTGAGATAAAGTGTGCCAACTCTGAATGGTGCAATCCCAATGCAGGCTCTATCAAAGTAACTGCAACAAATTTCTGTCCACCAAATTACGCCCCACCAAATTTGGACCACTGGTGCAACCCTCCACAGAAACACTTCGACTTGTCCATGAAAATGTTCACCACAATTGCCATGTACAAAGCAGGGATCATCCCAGTGAAGTATCGTCGAGTGGCATGCACCAAAACTGGGGGAGTGAAGTTCCAAATGGGAGGGAACCCTTATTGGCTTCAAGTTTTGTTGTACAACGTTGGCAATGGTGGTGGTGTTTGTGAAGTGAGGATCAGAGGGTCAAACAGTAATGAGTGGAAATCCATGAACAGGGTTTGGGGACAGAATTGGGTGAATGGAGAGAATTTGGTGGGGCAAGCCTTGTCCTTTCAGGTGAGAACCAGCGATGGAAAAATGTTGGAGTTTGATGACGTTGCACCTTCCTATTGGCAATTTGGGCAGAGCTATGAGGGCAAAACAAATTTCTAGATTTTTGTTGGATTTGGTGACATTCACATTCTGTTCAGAAAATTAAGAGTGTCTTGTTGCCATTTCAATTACATCCAACGGTAAAAACACTCGTTAAGAAATTAAAAAAAAAAATATATATTATATATTGTAAAATGCAACCATATATATGTACTCTTTCATGATATCTAATACAACTATAGCAATACTTTTTTTTATTAATTGATCAACAGGTATCCTTATAATTTTTTCACCAGTTAAAAAACTATTTTATTTCACTGTCTAAAGGCTTCGTTAGGTAATAAAAAAGGAAAATGAGAGGAAAGAAAAAAAATAAAGTTAAAAATATACATATTCATTTAAAAGAAAAATGATATGAAAAGAAATAAAATTTATTATTTAATTAAAATTAATGAGAATATTTGTAAAATAATGTCTTATTTATATTTTTCACTCTTTTCAATCATATATCAGAAAAAAATAAATGTTTTTATTACTTTTATTGCTAAATAAAGGAAATTATTACTTTTCATTTTGCTGCATTAATTACTTTTCGCCGTATGCCATTCGTCTAAAAAAATCCTTAAGTGAAAACAATGAAATAAAGAACAGTGTAAACACAATTATTTATGATTAAAAATATACTTAAAATAATAGTATCGTGTCTTGAACATATATTGAGTTAATAAATTATAATTTGTTATAGTACTATAATTTTTAAATATTTTTTTATTTTTTATTTTTAGAAAGATATGTTAATAGAAATGATATATATGTATTAATGATTATATTACTGTAACTTACATAAACGCTTGTGTTAAAAAATCAATTAATAAATATATTTTTATTTATATATAAGTCAATAACATAATATTAATAATAAATATTTTAAGTTTCATTTTTAATTGTTGATTTAAATATATATATATATATATATATATATATATATATATATATATATATATTTCCATCTAAAAGAAAGAAACGAATAGTAATTCCGTTGTATCTATTTAACTGTCCGATTTTTAAAAGAATTTTTCATTTAATTATATTTTAAAAGTTTAAAACAATATTAATTACTATTTTATTACTTTATTCTTATCCTTCATCTAATCTTGATTTAGCTTACATATATGCATGTATGTAAAAATGAAAAAAAAAGAAAAATATTTCTATTAAAGTAAAAAATATTTGTTACATTTTTTAATTTATATAAAAATATCTTAAACTAAACATAGAAAAGAAACATAGAGAATATTAGTTAAAAATAATAGATTTTTTTTTTGGTATTTGAACATATTAATTACACTAACTACTTTGATTATATCTTTAAAATAACCGGGTCAAGTTTGTTTAAAATTTATTAATTTAATTAATGTAATACCTTATTTAATTCAATTAAAATATATCATTTTTAATTAGCATATCTAAATACATATTTTATCAATAAAAATAAAAACAATTCAACTATAATTCAAAATATTTTAATTTATATAAATTAAAGATAATCATTACATATAATTTGATGATGGCAATTACGCTAATTATTTTAATTATACACTTAAACTTTAAGTAATTATTACTTTAATTAAAAAAATCAGCTGGGGTATATTCAACAGAAATGCAAGCTAGTCTTGAACATTTTTTTTCATACATAATTACCACTGACTCCAGAATTTTATCTAGTTCCACGTCAACATCCAGCACAGATTTTTCTTTCTTCGTTCCATAAATTTCTCAAGTTACCTCCCATTTATAGGCTTTCTAGTTCTAGCACGTAAAATACATTCTAAAAAATGTATTCTAAATCAAATAAATGAAAGATGGCCGACAAATTTACGGGGTGCAAAAAAGTAAGGCCCACCACCATCCAAGTAGCCCAATCAAAAGGTGGGCCGCAGAAATAAAATGATAAGGTGTAGGAGTTCAATAGAGACACTTATTGATAACAATGGATTATAGAGTATTTATAGATACAAAAGATATTAACACAAAATTACGAAAATTGTAGATGGTAAAGTTTTGCAATGCACCCACATCACCTAACAAGTTAACATAAGATCACTATGTCCAATTACTTTTGATGTAACAATGGGACATCACACTTTTACTTCCAGTCAAGCATGTCCAATAGCCACAAGACTTCTTCCTTAGAATTTGCCACATCACAGAAATCCATCTGGATCCCAAATACATCCATAAGATCTTCATTTTTATCTTCCATGAATAGCAAAGATATCCATCCACGTATGCCAGACAAAAAAGGGTAGCCGGGGGATATGTCTAGGTAATCAAAAGCCAAGGCTCTATAAGATGAGCGATCAATGTAATCAAACATGGATTTATTTATTATGCGGGCAACCGTATTTGAATCCTTCCTCCCAACCATGACAGAGACACTAACGTTCTGATTTTGTCCTGAAGGGATAGTAAATCTAGGTTCCACTGGAAAAGTCATCTTGTATTCCGAACCTTCCAATTGAAATTTGAGCATTTCAGAAACCCCAGATGCTGGAATTCTGAAACCTGCTTGAAGGACAGAGCCAGGTACCACTTCTGAGAAGAGTAATATGTTTTCAGCCCAAATGTCAATGAAAAAATCCAAATCATCAAATGAGATTCTTGGAGGGAGAATAATTCTACGATGCTGACGTTTATAAAATGTTTTGTACAAGTTGTAGTAGGTTAAAGTTGAAGGATTAGGTCGCTTGCAGATTGAAGGCCATCTCCGGGCACACAGACATTTCCAAAGGAAATCATCTCTCGCAATGTCTTTCCACAGCTTACAAACAGCCATACAAGAAGCAAGATCAACACCCTCCAGGAAAGGGAAAACAGCCTTCAGAACTTCTTCAGATGCCATTGCCAGTTCAAAGTTGCAATAAAAAAATTGAATATACTATTGATCATACACTGCAATGAAAAGGTCAAAATGTAAATACCATAAGGATTCCAAGAAAATAAAATACAAGATATGAAAAATAAATTTTCCAAGTCCTTTCAAAAGCAGGACTCAACATAAACACTTTACTAAGAAAATATAATACCCATCAAATAAAACTCATAATGATTAATAATTGACAGCACATTGAAATGCATAAAAAAATTCATGCGTATGTGCTATCCAAATAGAATTACTATAAACAGAAAAATTTCCATTTGACATATTCAGAAAATTTAGAAAAGAAAAATACAGAGTGGCGGTGACCATATACCTCCACCAAAACAGTGATATATATATATATATATATATATATATATATATATATATATATATATATATATATATATATATATATATATATATAATACATAGTTGACACAATTCTCTCTCAATGCAATTTAGGTTTAAAGTTAGAATTTTCAAACATGCTCCGTTCCATCACAATGCACCAAAGCAAACCGAATACTATTCAATCCATAAAACAAATACGCACTTTCTTTCAAAATTCCAGAGGAGTTTGCCAGATTAGCAAGAAAAAATTATGAACCATTTGAAGTCAAAACTAGATTCACTAATCTAGAAGATTTGCACAGGATTAATGTTGAACAAGTTCGGGACTTGAACACTAAAACCATATGACAGTTTTTAAAAATTTGAGTATTATGAGAGTACTTATAGGATTTTAAAACTAAGTCAACAGTCCTTTTTCATCACCCATCACCCCATCCAATCCTATACCTTAATTCGGAAAAGCTTCATGTTAATGAAAGAATGAAATGAACAACGACATAGGCACATAATTTCGAGTGTAAGCATGCAAAAGAACAAACAATAATTACACAACTCTTGCAACATTCGTCACAAAGTTCTAAATGACAGCTATTAAATCCTCGAAGAGATTCTGCTCCTTCAGTGTATAAATCTATCCAAAATAATTATTTACAGATAGAGGGTATGGTTCGGTGTGCAGGTGGAAAATAGAGGTTGGAAAATAAGTTGCTATGACCTTTTTTAAACCAAATTAGTTTCTCAAAGAACTAAAACATCATCACCTTCGTTCACGTGAAAAACTAAAGTCAGAAAATAAAAGGGATTGCCATTTAATATCTTTGAGAGACTACCTTGTTGACCAATATAGTTAAGGGATCAAATGGTAACAAATTAGCATTTGAACTATTAATTACTCAAAATGCATCTTCCACCATTTCGAATTTTGCTGCTAACACTTTACAAATAATTAGCAGATCGCACCAGTAGATATCCTAAAACTCAATCCATCAACATACAATACAACAGTAACCATGCGTCAAAAAACCATTTGATATAATTATTTAAAAATAACTCGTATCTATTTATTTTTAGTAGTACAAGAATCAAAACAAGATAAAGCATTTTATAATCCATATCACACACAGGTTCAACTAAAATCCATCAATAACAAATGATTCATGATCACACCATTGTTACGAAAGAGAAGGACCCAGAAAAACCCAAACTGAATTAACAGAAATGCTAAGCGCCCAAAATTTGTTTAAGAGAGATGAAACCATTGACAATGCAGGAAGTAGAGAAAGAACTAAGCTAAGGAAGGATAGAGCTATATAACTAGCGTTGACAAAACAGGTTGGGACATGCCTTAGTAACAAATGGGGCGTGATGAATTGCCTATTTATTTTGGTTCCTTTCTCATATACCAAAAAGTGAAATAAAGTTTTATTAACACCGTTTAAACCGAACATACGAAAAACAAATAAAAGATAAAAAAACGTTGAAATTGACAAATTCAAAATAAAAAGTACCGTGGAAGTCTACAAAGCATGTCTCTAGCAATGAGATGTCGAGCTAGAATGAAAAATGAAGAAAACCCGATTTAATAGAGAAACGATTAGAACGCTAAATCATGCAAACGAAGATGAAAAACCTAAACATTGAACATCAAATACTGAAGCGTGGAAACTTGAAGAGGGAGTTACCGGCGTCAGGTGCGACGGGTAGTGGCGCGCTGCACCGGAGGAGTGGTGAGGGACGTAGATCTGATCCTGGAACCGTGAAAGAGATGTGCAGAGAAGAGAAGAGAACAAAGGGCGAGGGAAGGAGGAGGAGAGAGGTTAGAAGAAAAAATAGAGACTTTGGAGTGTGAAAATGATTAAGGCCCAACAGTAGGCCCAAACTCTCCTAATCCATTCGACCTGACCTGGACCCAAATTTTGATAGAAAAAAAAAATTCAATTTTAGGTTTTTAATAATTACACCAAAAAGTTAGGAGGTAAGACTCTCAAAAACACTTTTAGTAATAAACTAGCTTAAAATTTTTTGTTGTGTTAAAATTAGCTCAAAAATATATTTGTAATACCCTACAAACTTCAATTTAATAAATAGGTATGCGAATTATTTGATTATAATTTTTTTTATCATGGGTATGGAATATTCATTGATTATAATTTCTCAATGGAGTTCTTTTTAATCGACAATACTCCAACATGAAACATTATTTAAGAAGGCCAAGTCCAATGGCACTTGACCTAGTAACTTGATAGGAAAAAATGTGTTATGAATAATTAAGAAAAATAAATAAAATGCATATTTCTTAATAATGATTAAAATTAAATATTTTTTTAATTCTTTAAAAATTAGTCTTCCAAAGAATACTATTATTTCCGGTATTTTAATTTGTTTTTTTAGAAATTAGTTTTAAAACAAATATTTGATCTTTTCTATCCATTCTATTACAATCCAGTTAAAAGAAAAGATAATTTTTTATTTATTACTTGGCATACTACGTCGGATACACATTGAAAAGTTGATGTAATTATTTTTGTACGTAATACAAACTTTAATTATCCCATAAACACGATAAGATGAGGATATATAGGTTTATTGAGGTTATAGGCAATGGTTCCACCCAAATATTCTCCTTTCAAGCTTGGTGAGGAAAAAGAGATGAACAGGAAGGCCATTGACAGGAACAGGCATGGGATCAATAATAATATTCTCATGAGGAATTACAGCTTCCCACTTGAACCTCTTCACTAAGTTGTTCATGAAGACCAATATTTCCATTCGAGCATACTCTTTTCCAGGGCACATCCTTGGCCCTCCACCAAATGACACAAAAGTATAAGGAGCTGGTTTATGTTTTCTCTATATATCCATCAGAGAGTTTCACATTTGAGTGAGATATAAAATATCTTATAAATTTCAGTGCTTTAGAACTTATTTTGTCCAACCTCAAGTATAGTAGAAACTGATTGTGAGACTAATTCTTGATTCACAACTCAGTTATATTTAAAGTCCTTGATCTGTTTTAAGATGTACTAAGCTTGTGTTGCATGTTGCGAAGGATAATGTCTTACTATACTTTTAACAATAAAGCAAAACGTTAACAATTAATGTTTCACCTCTTGGCCAAGGGAAATACGGTGACATGGGTGTTGTTCTCCCATTCTAAAGCATAGTGTCTTTAGAACAGTGTCCATGATGTTAATATAACCTTGTAGGGCTAAGGAACTGAGGAGCATGTGCCTCAACTTCTTGGCTTCTTGATTAGTGGCTGTTTGAAGCGATGATGGGACATGAGTTTGTTCTTGTTAGAGAACAAGAACTTGTTGCATGCAGCTCCACAGAACATTAATGTACGCTCCCAAAGATGGAGGTCTTGAACACTTTGGAAGAGTACTTAGTCATGCGTTCGTAGATGAACTTCTCTGGTTGCCATTTCCATCCAGAAAAACCCCATTTTTTTCTGGCAGAAAGTTGGGGGCGGTGAACGGAGAACGAACACAGCAGAAAAAGAAGAAAAAAAAGGAGAGAGAAGAGGAAAAAAAAAAATTTGGTCGTGTATTTTCATGCACCTGTGAGAGGATTATACAAAAAAAAAAAGCTGGTTATAATTTCACAACCGTAAACCATCCAAAACTTTTAAATAACTAACTTTTATTAATATAATAATTTATTAGATGATTTAATAAAAATAAAAATAAATTAAAACTATTATTATAATATTAAAAAAAAGTTATTTATAGATAATAAAAAATATCATTTTCTTATAAAAAATATTTATTTTACAATTCAACTAAATAATAATTATTGATATTTCAATTATATAAGGTAGATGAGAGTGTATTCACATTCCACTTCTTTATATATCAATGTGTATCTCCCATGATAAGTATAGTCATTTTTAGGTAAATGAAACGAAATAGTGTAGTAATTTTGTAGAATTATCTTTATAATTATATTTTTTTAATTTTATAATGATTATTTTTCTAGAAAATCAATATTAAAAATTTAATATAAGTTTATATAAAAAAATTTATATATAATTTAATATTTTAAAATTTTGAATTAAAAATAATGTTAATTTTGTAAATTAGACTCATATTTTATTTAATAATATACTTAATGAATCTCTCAAAAGATCATAGAAAAATAATCACTTATATCAATATTTTTATAAAATAATGCTGCTGAAATTTTTATATCTATTCTTAAATGGTTTGTTATTGAAAAAAAAAACTTAATACATGATCTAAATAAATTAATACAAAAAAACACTAGCTCAATTTTACGAAAATTAATTTAAATAAAAAAATTTAATATTTATTTGTATAAATTATTTTTTATTTTGAAAAACAGAAAATATAAATTTATTGTGTAATTATAATTGATTTTATTCTAATAAAATTTTTCTTAATAAATTTTAAAAAACTATTTTCCTTTTATTTGTTTTTGTAAGTTATTTAATAAAATAACTATAAAAGCTTTAATTAATTTATTATTGCATATAAAATTCCTTTAATAAAATGTTAGTTTAAATAATTAATATTTTTTTAATTATATTATTATTATGATATAGTAATAATTATTTTTTCAAATATTCATCTAACAATCACTTTTAAATTTTTATATTATTATTTGTTTTTTCACTTCAATCTTTTTCTATTGATCTATTTTAAATATTAAGAAAAATCTATTTTGACAATTGTATTTTGTCAAACATTTAATCTACAACTTATTTTAATATTATAATAATAATTACATTATTTTTACTTTTATTAATTTTTTTATAGTTATTATATTAATAAACTGAGTAATATTTAGAGTTGTTTTTCCTTACGGTTGTGAATATTAGAGTATATCTTAACAGAGAGCAACATTGAAGACTATAGCAACAGCACTGAAAACAATACATCAAACTTCCATGAATGGAGGTTAATAATTTACTGATTCAGAAGAAAGAGCGAAAACCATGCAGTATGCCAAATGTCATGATTGCTCACATAAAGTGCAAAATATGTGCCAAGAGGTCTAAATATTCCATTCCTGAGAAGAAAATGAATAGAATGATGTTAAAAGCACTCTGCATCCAAGAAAATATTTTTAAATAGATTATCACTAATTATGACTATAACATTTTTACAATAATAATTTTTTCATTATAATTGTGTGGATAAATTATTTTATAAAATTAAAATACATTTATCTATTTTCGCAGTTCATAACATCAGTGTTTTAAGTTTCTTTTAATTGATAATAAATATTATAAATCTAATAACATTTTTATGGACAGTAAATAGTATTACAATACCTAATTTTACATTATAACATTAATGTTAATATTATGTTACAGTTATTATGTTAACTATACTATAATGTTACATGCACATTTAATATTTATGGCTTTTGTTTTGTTTTTTTATATATAAAAAAGAAAAATCACTGAAGAATTGTATATAATAAACATATAATATTCTTCGCCTTTCACTATATGATATAAATATGAACAACGCGTGTGTTGATAAAATGTAGTGAAACCCTTACATATATTATTTTCAATCTTTTGAAAAAAATATCAAAATAAACAACTAATTAAGGACATGTTTAAATTATTATTAGTTGAATTAGAACAAGGTGGAGACCAAATATAATAGCGACAACCTGTCTCACGATAGTTATTCCATCTCAAAATCCGTCTCTAATTTAACTCTTTTTACAGTGTAGCGTGATAGATGATTAAGTTGAAGTCCCATAAACACAGCATAACTTTCAAGAGCTAAATATAAATAAGAGTGGTGATATTTTGACAACTAGAAACCATACAACCCTTCAAACAACTCACTTTTATTAATATAATAATCTGTAAAATGATTGAATAAAAATAAAAATTAAAACAAAACTATTATTATAATATTAAAAGAGAGTTGTTTATAGGAGTTGTATGGATTTGGGTTGTCAAAGTATCATTTTCCTATAAATAAATAAGAAGAGACATTATTAGGGTTTGGGCCATATACAACTTGTGCATAGGAGTTGAGATTGGTCAAAGTATTGGTTCAATCAAACTTGGTGAGGATAAAGACGAATTGGAAGGCCTTTGGCAGGAACAGGCATGGGATCAATGATAATATTCTCATTAGGAATAAGAGTTTCCCACTTGAACCTCTTCACTATGTTGTGCATGAAAACCAATATTTCCATTCGAGCATACTCTTTTCCAGGGCACATCCTTGGTCCTCCACCAAATGGCACAAAAGTATAAGGAGCTGGTCCTGTTCCTTCAAATCTACTTGGATCAAATTTCTCTGGCTCTGGAAAACACTCTGGATTCCTATGTGTTGAACTTGCACTCCAATACAACTGCATCACCGGCAAAGAAAAATAAAATCTCTAGTCTTTTATTACTATATATATATTCAATAACAATCTCACTGGCACACATACTTTTTAGTATCTCCGGAAAATGAAAAGAACAAGCAAAAAGTCATGCTACAAGAATAAAACATGTCGTGTTTATCAGTGTTGGGAGTGAAAATAAAGATGTAAATTTGGCCAAGTTATGATACCTTCCAGCCTTTTGGAATTGAGAATCCATTGAAGATAAAGTCATTCATGGCTTCCCTAAAAGCCCCTTGGAGTGGAGGGGCAAGTCTCAGAACTTCACAAGCAACATTCCACGAATATTTCATCTTCTGGATGTCATCCCAATTCAACAACTCTCCTTTAGCTTTCGATTTTGCAATTGCCATTTGTTCTGAACAAATTAGATAAAAGCAGATAATTTTAATCACAGTTTTAAACAACAGAAATTGATATATTTTTAGAACGGTAAAAATCCATTCATAGTATGACAAGTTTATAATTAAAATAAAATAATAATCATGTTAGCAGATGTCAAAGAATACAGAGCAGTATTCTACACTTCTATTTAATAATATAATAATCAAATTTTTATTGTTATAGTGTTAAAATCAGTCATAGGTTAGATGTTGGATGAAATGCAGTCGTTGAAGTAGTTTTTTCCTAGAATATAATATTACGGTCTTCATAAAAGTAATTTGTTGGGATCATCAGTGTTTAAGTTTTTTAATTGAGTACTCATCTTGATGATCAATAACCAATGCATTGGTTATATAACTCAAATAATAATAAAATGATATTATATATTATTATTTAATTAATAAAAGCAGTCGTTTAAAGATGTTTAAGTTATGAACTGGGGCGTTTCTTTCCTTACTGTAGTCAAAACGGGTGTCACAGATGAATCTGACCTGACTAACTGAAAAAATTTGATGTGACCTATATATTATAAAAACGAACAAAATTATTTTTAGACTCCATATACACGTCAACCGCCTTGATTGAATTTTTTTAAATATTATTATATTTACACAAAATCAATTAATTAAAAAATATTTAAATAAAAATAAAAATATATTTTAAAAATTTAAATTTTATTAATAAAATTAATTTTTATTCAAAATATAATAATTTAATAAAATTATAAGAAAATATATTTCTTCAATTATGAAATAGAAATTAAAAATTTATTTTTTAATATTATTATTTATTTTTAGTAATTTATTATTTTATAATAATAATTAATTTTAATCATCATTAAATTTTAATAGATTTATTCTAATATTTGAATCCTTTTTAAATTAATTTATAATATATATATTAATAAAATAATATATACTTGTTCCTTCAGTATATCATTGGTTTCACTGTATTAAAAAAAATGTTAATATCTGAGTTTTAGTATTTTGAGGATTTATTCTCTATTTTTAAGTTGAGGATACCTGAATTTTCACCTAAAAAATGTAATACATAATTATTGGGTTTATGTTGTTTATATACAATAGTAAAAAAGTAAATTAGGCTTCATTTGAATTTTATATAAAAAAAATAAATCTCGTATTTTGTCAATATAAAAAATATATAATAACATTCAATAGGAAATCTATAGATATTTATCCATTTTGATTCACTCAATCCATTCTAAACTTAATTTGATTTATTTTAAACTTAAATAAAATCTAACATAATGCCAACCGATCAAATCCTATTAGTGAAAATTTAGATTTAAAATTACAGACATTATAAATTAAAACCAAATTTGATGATAGTTAATGCATGTTTGCTTTAGTTTAAAGAACAGGGAAGTAAGAGAGAGATACCTTGGTAGACATTTTCATAAATATTTTTAGGGAGCTCAGCAAGATATTTGACCACAAAAGTGCATGCAGAACTTGCGGTGTCGTGGCCTCCTATCAACAGGCCAAGGATCTTGTCAGCAATAAATTGTTCACTCATATATTCTCCATTCTCATCGCATGATAACAACATGTGAGACAAAATGTCTTGTGTCGGTGAGGTTCCATTAGCCAAATCCACCTTCCTCTGTTTGATAATCTTCAACAGCTTCTGCGTAATGAACTTGGAGGCCTTGATCGCTTTGTTGAACGGAGTTCCGGGCAAATCAATGGGCAATGACATGATTCCTGAGGCTATTTTATTGAAAGGTTCTGCCAACTTTGCCACTTGGATCGGATCATCATAGTTTACGAACAAACGGCAAGCCACCCAGAAGGTATACCTGAGTTGAAAACGTTGGTAAACATGAAAAAGTACCAAATGAAAAATGCATGCATGCATGCGAGTAAGCAACGTCAAATCAAATGATATAGGATCAGAGTACGCTTGTGTTAATTACTAGGTTTCTTGTCAACTAAGTCACAGTTCTTGGTTCTTATTACACTAAAACCTTATTCCATATTTTCTTAACATGCAAGTAAGGAAAATCATCTACGTTAGTGAAGATTTACGGGGAGGTTATGTTTTCCTGCCAACAAGTTGACTTAAAGTGGACCTTATCAAATTAGCCAACCCCATTAGTGTCTTACTATATATACTATGCTGATAAAGAGAAAAAGAAAAAGTCATAATAATGAATAAACACCTCTTGGCCAAGGGAAACACGGTGACATGGGTGTTGTTCTCCCATTCTAAAGCAAAGTGTTTTTGAGCAACAGTGTCCATGATGCCGATGTAACGTTGGAGGGCTTGGGCGCTGAGAAACTGAGGGAGCATGTGCCTCAATTTCTTGGCTTCAACTTTAGAGCTGGTGAGAGACGACGACGGGAATATCTTGTTCACATTGTCTGGCCACCAAGACACGACGAGTTTGTTCTCGTTAGAGAACAAGAACTTGTTGCATGTGGCTCCACAGAGCATAACTGTACTCTCCCCAAAGATAGAGGTCTTGAACACTTCGGAAGAGTACTTTGCCATGCGTTCGTAGATGAACTTCTCGGGATGCCCTTTCCATCCCAATGACAGAAACTCCATGCTCTCTCCGATCACAGGAAACCCCATCTTTCCCGGTGGCAAGTTGGGGACGGAGAACTGAGCATTATGTCTATAGAAAATTATGAAAAAGGAGAGACAGACAAAAGACACAAACATGAGCAGAAGAGAGAGATAGAACTGCTCCATGTTTCTCCTTTCTTGAGGTTTCTCTGGTACATGTTTGGCTATAAGTGGAGGCAATTTATAAGATCGCTAGCAGAATTCTTGGAGGCCCACTTCCCGTGGTTGGAGAGGGGGTGATATTTTAGTGCCAATATTAAATAACACAATAAAGATCATGGTGAATTAAATATATGCTCGCGATTCGCAAACAGCGTGTCTATATATTATGTGCTTAAATAGTTCTACCTTAAATAAGGTTGTTGATTATCATGCATTGACTTAGTATATTTTGCTTAGCTCATCCAGCTATTTGGATTGTCCAACACTAAATCATGGCTAAGAACCTTGCTTATGGTGCGTGAGCATTATGTACATTTTCTTTCAATGGGAACGTGGCATTTATGTGCTCTATGCCTTCATGAACACAACGAGATCTAACATGTGGGGTACAATGAATCTTCAACGTAATTTAGGAAATGAATATAAAAGTCATAAAAAAGTTCACATTAGTTAAATAAAACTTAACACAGTTTTCTAAACGTTGACGTTTTAGATGAAGACTGTGTTCTGTAAATAGTTATATGAAAAAAATCTCTTCCAAAATTTTAACAAATAAGGTTTCTTCTGTCATCTCCCCGTGATTATAGGCCCAATGAGAGCAGGAGGCTTCCTGGATGAATCTATTCGATTTTGTAGCCTTTTTTTTCCAAAACAGGTTAAAAAAAAACTAATTTTACGTAATAGGGTGAAATTCGAAAAATTTACGAAAATTGATTAAATTTTCAAGAAAAAGTTTGCTGTTCAGAGATAAAATCATACTAAAATTTCACTTTCTTTTAAATTTCTTTTACTAAAGTCATGTTCATTGGTTGCACACAATAAAAATTTCTTTGTATATAAATACTTAAAAACATCTTTTTTGAAATAATGTGAGACTGGAAAAAATAGAACATTAAAAAAAATAAAACATCAATACTTAACTAAGTTGTAAGGGGACAAGACCTTATTTCATCTTATTCTCACCCAAGTGAATATATTTATAACCATTGAGAAAATAAATATATATAAACTCTTGAATGTACATACAAAAAAAAAAGAAGAATAGAATGAGAGATTTAAATTCCTTTGAAATCATATTAAGAGTATTTGTTAAAAACAAATTTGTCAAACATCTCTTAAGATATTGAATATTAGAGAGGACAACTTTGTCATCCTTTTAATTTTATATATATATATATATATATATATATATATATATATATATATATATATAAAATTAAACTTTGTTTATAGAACTTACTTAATTAGTATTTATCTCAAATTTGTTTGTATTCTTGAGATTATCTTATATTAGAAACCTTTTTTGTTTTTAAGTGTTTTTTATATTCTCCTATATTATGCCAAGTTTTTTAGAAGCTTGAGGAAAAATTTTATTTTTAAAATTAACAATTAAATTGAAATTAATTATTCTATAAATAATATATTTTAAAAAAATTAACTAGTCTTATCTTAAAAAAATTATATTAAATTTGTGCTAAGTAACATTATTTTAAGAAATAAAAAAAAAACTTGTACTACCTAATAATATAATTAAAAAAAAAGTTACAACTAAAATTCTGCTATGTAGTATACTATTTAACTTTGAATACGTTGTTGAAATTGTGTTATAACTAATTTTTGTAATTTTTTTCAAATTCGATCCTATATAGTAAAATTGGGTTTTTTTTACCCCTATTATGTAAAAAAGCCGATTTTGTATAAATTTAAATTTGATTTGTTCCTCTACGACTAAAAAGAATAACAAATTTAACAGAACTATATATAAGAAGATTTGAAAGCATAATACAAAACATGAAAATATCTTTTGCAGATAAATGCAAAAATAAGGGATGAATTTGGGGGAACTGGTAGAAGTTATGGTAGTGAAATTATGCCTTGGACTCTCAAGAAGCTATGCTTGCAGCAAATGGATTCAAAATGAGTTGGAAGTTCTCACCAAACATTTGAACTTAAGTTCAAAATCAAGTCATCAAAATATGTCATTTTATGTGGTAAACATGACAATGATCATTCTAAAGCATCTCACTAGCAAAAGAACGTACATGGTTAATTTTAATATAAGAAAAAGAGGTGCGTAATTTACTATTAGTTGATTAAAGTTGAAGAAACCATTCTTACTACTCTGAAACTGAATACATATATATCATATTATTAAATTCAGTGAAATAAAAGTTGTAAATAATATTAAAAGAAATATATATAAATCTTGACATTTCATTTTATTAATTATGTAATTTTAAATTGATACTTTACATTTCATTGAATTTGTCCCATGTGAATTATATAGATGCTATATCAAAGATCTCGTGTCTATAATTAATAAAGAAAAAAGTTTATTGCACTACCACAGCTTCTTATCAACTTGTTTTAAGTTTGACCACATTTGTTTTAATCACAAATTTCCTTCTAATAAAACAAATTTTAATGTGAATTAATTACAGGGATTAGTGGAAATATGTGGTCCTATCAGATCTTAGACATGTTCTGATATCTCGTTCCTCATTCTTCTGTAACATGATTCTAGCTGTTTTTTTTAATGAATAAAAAAACATAAAAAGAAGGTTGACATTAGGATGAATTATTACATAAGCAATATGTGGGTATAACGTGACAATTATTAAAAGTAAGAGGAGACTAATATTCAACGTCATACTGAATTAAAATCTCAACATGAACAAATTGAAATTCAACAACTTATTAAAACTCAACTAGATCAAAGAAAATAAGATATTAAAAAAAATTCATATGACTAATTTATTGGGTTATTTATGATTCATAAGAGTATACTAAGTTGGTTTATTATTTTTACTTTTTAACTAAAATATTTCAAATAATTTTACTTACATTTTTATGTTTCTAAAATATTATTAATTACACTTTTTAATATTAATTGTTTCCTTTTATTTTATTTTGTAGGATCAAACACGTTAAGATACTACGAATAATAATAATAATAATAATAATAATAATAATAATAATAATTATTATTATTATTATTATTATTATTATTATTAAATATTTTTATTATAAGAATTAATTTTAATGATATTTATAAGATTGAAAGACATTTAAATTATTGTTACAAAATAATAATAAATTCAAAATTTTTAGTGATGAATATTTATATCACTGTCTTGTTTGATTCACATAATATTATTATTCATACAATATTATTGTATTTCTATGGGATAAAAAAATAGAATAAAATAAAAGATATAAATTTTAAGATAAAATAGATTAGTTTCTTTTAAAAATAGAAAATTTTTAATTAGTCATGAAAAAAAATTTGATTTATAATATAAATTTTATATCTTATATATATATATATATATATATATATATATATATATATATATATATTAAGTTAATGTGATTTGAATAAAAAGAATTAAGATAATGTGAGAGGAAATGAATGTGAACCTTAGTTTTTTTTTTCTATATAAAAATATGATAAATAAAATAAAAGTTGACCACATAATTTTTTTCATGAAGTCATGAATGACATGATGTATGATAATATATATATATATATATATATATATATATATATATATATATATATATAAGTACAAATTGTATTATTGTTAGTAACTCATAATTAATTATATATATTGAGTATGATTAATGGAATATTATACATGTTAATGGGAAGTCCATTATCAATTTTTATAATTTCTATTTTATTTCACTTCAACCAAATAAATTCATTTTACTATTTTCTCCCCCTCTTCTTCTGCTACGATTTCTTTTACTCTAACTAAACAGAAGCTTTGAGTGTATGTTTTGTGGCTTTAGTATAGACTATGTCAAATTTGGTTAATTTCAAGAAATATAACTTTTAGTGATAAAATTTTAGTGACAAATATAAAATTTGTTACTATATATTATTTGTAACAATTTTTTAATTTATTATAAATAATATTATATTAGTGACCAAATTAAAAATTATCACTATAATATTGTTAAAAGTGACAATAATAACATATTTGTCACAATATATATTATTTGTAACAAATTTTTAATTTATCATAATTATACTAGTGACTAAATTAAAAATTATCACTATAATCTTATTAAAAGTAAAAATAATAATATATTTATCACAAATATTATTGACACATTAATAATTAAATTAAAAATTATTACTGTAATTCATATATATATATATATATATATTATTTTAAAATGATAAATAAATTAAAAATTATTATTATAATATCATTAAAAATATATAAAACGTATATCATAAATAATTAGTTATAAAATAAATTATTTAAATAAATAAAGTAAAAAGGTTGATGTTGTTATCTAAAACTTGACAATTATAAAACTTAAAACTAATTACCAATATCAAAGTATACATACCATGTTTTGAGTTTAATTTAGTTTTATATATTTAATAAATCATTTGTAATTCTTAAATTCAAAATTTATTTCAATAAATAAGGAAGAAAATATTTTACCTTATTTTTATATTTAATTAAGTTAGCAATTTTAATATTAAAATTGAAAAAGTTATTTAAATAATATAAAAATAACAACATTTTGGATTCAACTTTTAACCATATTTTTAGGGACAAAATTAATTATTAATAATGTTATTCATTATTATTATTATTAAGTTAACTTATTTTTATTTTTAATGAATAAATAAGATGAAATATAATAATATTTTAAATTAATTGGAATTATTTGAATTTTGTATTTAATAAAAACATATTTTTTATTTGATCCAATTGTTTTTAATTTTTATTGAATTATGTTATTTTTAAATAATTTGTTAAGATGTGCTACTAAAGGTTTTTTTTTTTTTCAAAGAATAATTAAGTAAAAAAATTAATGATGACTTTTTATATAATAATTTTTTATATTAGGTAAACTTAATTAGAATAGGAATAATTTTTTTCTTCTAATAATCTATAAAGTATATATATTCAATTGAAATATATTTTTTATTGACATAT